AAACCTGGAATCAAGACCTACACATCCAAGCTCAGACCTAAGCCAAAATCAAGAGCCAGATGCTCAACTGACTGAACCACCCAGGTGCCTCCATCAGAGTTAATTTTTAAAACCTCACCTTATATTTAAGGCTTATTTGTTGTCTACCAAAATGTGACAGAGGAAAAGTAGTTCTAATATGGAATAATAAGGAAAATCTACCTATAATATATGAAATAGACTCTTTAATGAAATTAGTATTTGAAGCTAAGGGTTAGCATCTAGGATTTAATATTATTGGAAGCTGTTCCCACTAAAGTACAACAAAGAAAATCACTACTAGCATTTTAACTTTATTTTTACTTTTTAGCATTTTAACTTTAAACAAGAAAGTGATGGAGATCTTTGTTACTGAGATAAGGGGAGTATAAATGGCTAACCTAAGAAAAAGGTACATTGTGGGGAGATCAAAATTTTTAAGGTCAATTTTGCAACTCTGTCTAGACAAATAGCAATTTATGGAAAACAGTGAACCAATTACCTAATCAGGTAACACTGAGAACATGTAATGAGATGATGGAATTTGGCTTGGTAGGGAGCCTGGTATTTAGCTTGGTAGGGGGTATAATAATGTTCTCTGAAGGAGAATCAAAGCCATGAAAGAGAGACAGCAAAGGCTCTGTCTTGATAATATTATTTCTTCTGCATGATCAGGCCATATCGTGCTTTTCCCAACATCCTACTGATTCTTTGGATGTTCTTGGATGATAAGTGACTCCAATGAATTGTTCCTCCTTGCTTTCAAGTCAGCCAAACATGGGGACGGATTTGCCTCCAGGAATGAGGAAAATGACTTTAAAACCTCCCTGTGTGTGACAGAGAAGCAAAGGAGTACTGCCCTGAGTTGCCTTAAATAATCTGGATGTGCTCTCCAGTCATAGTGAAGGGTGTGGGGTGTTTGGACACATTGTGAACTGAACCCCCACTCTCCACACACAGAACCCCAAAAGCTTGGCTCCATCAGCCCCTCTCCCTGCCCCATAACCAAACATGGGTTCTTCTCAGAACAGGGGTAGTGAGGACCTTACCCGTGCTGTCCTCCCCAAGGCCTTCTGCAGCTTCTCGAAGCTTAATGTCCATCACCCTCGTGGAGATCATATCCAGTTCACTAAAATCAAATGGAAATTCATGTTAAAAGGGACATGCTTAACAGAAGTCAACAATGAGTAAAATGGTTTTGGTGACTGCTTTTTGCCCAGGACCTCACCTGCACACACCCCATCAAAGACAGATTCCAGGGCAGAGTACAGGACAGTATAGGCCAAAACCATGCCCACAGCTCAAGATTAATAGCCACATAGGTGTTTATCTAATCACTGATCAGAGTTCATGGAAAACATTTAACTAGAAAAAATGCTTGACCAAATTATACAATGCAGATTTGATTCCTTTCCTTCACAAAAGCTTTTTTGGAAATTGTTTTCTTCATGGGTGAAACAGATAAAGGAGATTAACAGTACACTTATCATGATGAGCACTGACCAATGTACAGAAACATTGAATCATTACATTGTACACCTGAAGCTAATATAACTCTGTACGTCAGTTATACCTTGATGTTTTTCTCTTATTCACTGTAAAAAGTACAGAGAACGAAAATCATCCATAATCCCACCTTGACCAAGGTTACTCCAATTAATGTTTGAATTTCCTTCCAATATTTTTGTCTACACAGATATGTGTGTGTACATGCACACATATACCTTGTTAGGAAGACTGACTTCCTGGTTTTCTTATATCATATCATTAAAATTCTTCATAAGTGTTAACTGTAACGGCTATGAAGTATTTCCATATAAAGCTGCAACATCATCATTAATTTACATTGAGTTTCTTTTCTGAACTTTTTATTATGAGAAATCTCAAACAGATACAAAAATACAGAGAATATATAATGAACTTAACATATTGTCACTCTTGTTTCATTTTTACACCTTCTCCCCCTCCCACTCCCACAAGGTTATTTCAAAACAAATCATCCCAGATATTATTATCATTTCATCCACATAGTTCCATGGTTTCTTCCTAAATTAAAAAGCCTTGACTCTTCATGGAAATAAAATTCAAGCTGTGTCCCTGCCTCTTTCATAGTTGACTTTAAAACAGTGTCCTCTACCCCACACATACTAACTCACCATTTATATGGAAAGCTATTTCTTATTGGCAGTTACTATGAATCCTCAGACTTTAAAAGGGGGCTCAAATATCTAACTAACCAATTAACATTTAGCACTTGTACACAGTGCATAATGGGAAATAATAGGAGAAATACAAAGAAAATATTTAACAGAGCAAAGGACTTGTTGGTTTTTGCCAGAGTTGGGTCTAACATTTAGGTCTTTAATAATAATACCAAAATGTCCATCTTCTGACCAGCCAATTCCTGAAAAGGTGAACAAAGCTCCACTGGCTTTGTTTCTTAGTTTGCATATAATTTAGCTCCCTAAAAATATCTGGTCAACAGAATCAAGGGAAAAAACCCCACATGATCACCTCAATTGATCCAGAAAAAATATCTGACAAAATTCAACACCCTTTCATGATAAAAATACTAAAAACAAAACAAAACAAACAAAAAACAAACCCAGGAATAGAAGGAAACTCAACATAATAAAGGCCACATGTGACAAACCCACAATGAACATTATCCTCACCAGTGAAAAACTGAAAGCTTTTCCTCTAAGATCAGGAACAAGACAAGAGTACCTCTCACCACTTCTATTCAACACAGTACTAGAAGTTCTAGCCAGGGAGATTAGGCAAGAAAAAGAACTAGAAAGCATCCAACTTGAAAAGGAAGAAATAAAGTTAAGTAAGTGTATTCACAGATGACATGATCTTATATGTAGAAAACCCTGAAGACTGCCCCTCCCCCATACAAAAAACTGTGAGAACAAACTGAGGGTTGATGGGGGGTTGTGGGGGGAGGATAGGTGATGGGTATTGAGGAGGGCACCTTTTGGGATGAGCACTGGGTGTTGTATGGAAACCAATTTGATAATAAATTTCATATTAAAAAAAACTGTTGGAACAAATAAATGAATTCAGCAAAGTTGCAGGACACAAAATGAACACATAAAAATCAGTTGTTTCCGTACACAGACAATGAACAATCTGAAAAGGAAATTAAGAAAACAATTCTATTTACAATAGCATCAAAAAGAATAAAATACTCAAGAATAAACTTAACCAAGGAGACAAAAGACTTGTACACTAAAAACTATACACAGTTGTTGAAAGAAATTAAAGAAGATACAAAAAAA